GACACATTCAAAAGCTGTTCAGACATTCCAAGGGGAGTTTATATCCATTAGAATTATATTTGGTAGTGTATGTAGGTATTTGTCTGTGTGTAATATAATTTCGTCCTTCGCTTTTGCCTTATAACATTTTGCCTTGGAAGATAACATCTGTCCAAAATCATCTGATAAACTTTATAAATCCAACAATTTAAACATCCTAGCTATCATTCCTTTTTTTTTATCCAAAGCACAATATAGATGAGTTTGTTATTCTCGGTGTGTACCTGATTGGTACATAGAGACAATGCCTCCCCTCTGACGTCTGTGTACTGACATTAGCAATTTTCAAAGAGTCAGACATTTTGTTTTCTGACTTTTGATGGCTCCCTCATGCAAGAATATCAAATGACTATTTAATTTGAGATTAAAAAAAGAATTCCAGTATAAAACTTAAGGAGACATATGTTATATTTTCATTATATAAAATTATGAGTTTTATAAGTAAAACAGAAATAACAACAAAAAGATTAGAAAAGGAAACCAGGAAACTAAGAAAATAAATTCTACATTTTTCAGAAATGTTAGTACACAATTCCCTTTCCCATCCATCGTCTCTGTTCCAGAAATGTTTATTGTACCAACATTGAGAAGTATTTTGCAAACCTATTGAGTAACACATACCCCAAGGAGACACAGTAACAGGTTTTTAAGATTCAGGATTCTGTGTATTTATAAATCAACTTTCAGTTTACCATATCTAAAAGATATCTGTGAAAGAAGAGAGGTTCAACCCATGCTATTCCCTGCATTCATGCAATGCATATATGGGTGTTTTTTTGTTATTGTTGCTGCTGCTGTTGTTTCATTACTTTTATACAATAGAGTAATAGATACAACTAAGGCTCATACTGAATGAAAAGTTCTCCCCAGAATTTAATGATGGAACAGACGCTTAAAGTTAATTTCAGAAGTATGTTGAAAATAAATTAAGTAAGATGTGTAATTGGGTTATAGAAACATATATTGTTTATTATTTCTTACAACTTTAGTTCCAAGGTGGATTTTATATTCAGGTTAAAGAATACATGACATGAGGACAAAGGACAGGGAAAAAGTGGCTATATTTGCAGATGTACATTGCTGACAAAAAGGACCCTATTTGTGCTTTTAAAAAAAAGCATCAATGAAAAAGTCCTTTTAAGATGTCATTGATACATAACCTGCCATGTTATATTGTGTGAATGAGCATAGCCTAATATAAGTACTAGAAATAGTTCAGATCTCTCCATTTCTTTCTTTAGCAAATTTTGATATGAAAGCTGAAAGTACAACTTTGCAGCAATACATTGTCTGCTTTATATTTATCAGTTGAGTTGATGTAAAACATACTGTATATCCCACTGAAAATAATGCCTAAAGATATTCCTAAAAGTATTCACCGTTTATCAAGGAAAAATGCTGCAATTCTGGCAACACAGCTAAAATAATTTTCTGAATACTCTAAAAACGCAATACAGTGTAAAAAGATTGACGGGGAAAGGACGGTGATTATTATTTTTAATTGCAGAAAGTATAGTATTCCACTGAGCTGATGGGGCAACTCCCTCAAACTGTCTGCTGAAAACATAACATGGATTTTTTTTTCATTGATACCAGGATTGGAAGAAATACTTTTTTACATGGATTGCTTTAAAAATGTATTACTTTGTTTTGAACGTTTTACAGAGATGTTTTATTTTAATACATTACTTCCCCAGATGCTTTTTTTTTTTTGGCTTTGGTTAAACTCTCACAATAACATCAGACTACTTTCTTGGATGAAGAAGCAGTTATAAAATTGCAAATGTATACAAGTTGGCCCAAATACAACCCAAATGGAACTATGACAAGCCCAGTGATTTAGATCAGAGAGGCTGCAGAGCAGAGGGGAGATTATTCACACACATACACACAAACACATACAATTGAATTTCAAGGATCTGTTACAATTGAGAAACAGGACTGTTTCAGTGCAACGGCAGAATAAACAAAGTTTAAAGGGTGGGAAAGGCAAATGTAATACAAAAGGCTTTGCTTGTCTCCTGTACCAGCTCTCTGTTCCTTATATTTTAATAATAAATTGATCATAACTTAAAAAACAGACAAACAGTCCTCTGAAACTATTGTGCTAAAAAGATAAGATGATCAGAAATGCTTCCACCAAGAGTGGAGAATCTTTGGCCCTCAACCTAATTTTAAGGGGCCCTAGGAGCAACTCCTATCAGCAATCAATTGTAGGAGAAGAGGCAGAGTCTGGGGCAGAGTTAAAAGAGTAATCAGTCTGGAGTCATTATGTTGCCACAAACATCCAAGTCCAGCCCTCCTTGAATACCATTAACTTTAATCTAATGCCAATTTAGTTCTGACCATTAGTTGACTAGCTTCTTGTGAGCAATAAATCTTTTTAACTGGGACTTAACTTGTGATCATGATTCTTCCTGCCTGACATTATTTCAGTTTTACTGGCAAAAAGCAATGTGTTGAAACCTGCTGAGCGGAAGAAAAAAGAAACTAGGAAGGATGTCAGAATGGATGAGCCTACTTTTGAAGGAGTTAGATCCCAAACCCCATCTGGGATAAGATCTACCTATTTATGATACTCTATTTCTTCTAATGAAAGGCAACTTTCAACAAGATAAAATGTACATTCACCCTTCTCTGCAGTCTTGGAGAAAATATCTATGAATTTGTGGCAATAGTGAAACAAAACTAATCAAAAAGTCAATCACATGCTACAATATAATTAAAACAATTATTGAAAGAGACAGCAAATTTGAAGCCTAGCCTCACTAATCACTTTGTGTACAATAAGTCTGTATTCTACCTTAATGTTTTTTGAAGAAAAATCTATTGTTTATAATTAAAGCAAATACTTAATAAAGTATACAACACACAATGAACCAATAATACCAAGATTTACAATAGCAGATCAGCATCAAGCCAGTAGGAAAATTATCTTGGACAATAAAAGAAGTTGGTGTCTGATGCTGAAACGTTATAAAAGTAGGTGGCAGGGAAGCATTCTGTCGAAGCATCTTTCCATGACTAGAGATCCATGGAGATAAAACATTTTTCTAGATGTTGTCATATTTGTAGAGTAAATGAGGTCTTGAAAATCACCTTAGCTGAGGCTCCATGAGATGAAATTTAGAATTAAGTATTACATGATATTAAGAGCTGGTTTGGTGTAATGGTGTAATATACCGCTCTAACCACAGGGAAATTGTGAATTTTAGTCCTGCCTTAGTCATGAAGCCAGTGGAGTGACCTTAAGCCAGTTATTCTCTCATCCCTAGGAAGGAGACAATGGCAAACCACTTCTGAAATCTTGCCAAGAAAATTGCAGGGACTAATGCAGGCAATTGTACATATAGAGCAGTGGTTCTCAACCTTTTTAATGCCGTGACCCCCAACCGGTCGTAAGTCGAGGACTAAACCGATCGTAAGTCGAGGACTAAACCGGTCGTAAGTTGAGGACTAAACCGGTCGTAAGTCGAGGACTAAACCAGTCGTAAGTCGAGGACTGCCCAACCGGTCGTAAGTCGAGGACTTTCCCTGCCCGGGAGCGCCGTGCATGCGTGGTTCTGCCCCCTGCGCCGGCCGAGGCATAGCTGGCAAGCGGCAGAGACGGAGCAGGCTGACCACCAGCTGGCCCAGCCCAAGGGAGGTAAGGCACCTGCCGGAAAAGGGGGGAAAAATGGCGGACAGCCCTGCTTGGTGACCCCCGTGAAATGGTCGATCGACTCCAAATGGGGTCGCGACCCATAGGTTGAGAACCGCTGATATAGAGTCATGTGGAACTCCACTCCCTCACCACTTGCTCATGCTTACAAACCACCGACTATCTATAGAAAGGTACAGCTTTTGGTTCTAGTCTTGGCAGCTCCTCCTCTGTAGAAGGAATTTCAATCTTGTTACCCTTACGAACACAGAAAGCCAACTTTGACTAGTGATTAAGGCACCAGGCTAGAAAGCAAGAGACTGTGAGTTCAAGTGCTACCTTAGACATGAAAGCCAGCTGGGTGACCTTGGGCCAGTCACTCTCTCAGCTAAATTCACTTCACAGGGTTGTTATTATGGAGAAAATAGGAGGAAGCAGGTGTGTTGGACATGTTTGCTGCCTTCAATTGTTTGTAAAAAATAAGGCGGGATATAAATAAACAAAAAATAAAATAAATGATGATCTGTGTGGTGCAAAATATTAACTTAAACCATTCTGGCATGTAAGGAAAAAATATATCACATGTAGGTAAATGTGAAATATATATTTTTCTTCAGAGAAAAAGAATAGGTTGTTAAAATAGGCTGGCTATAGCTATGCTAATATAATAAAGCACTATACTCTATTAGGCAAAAAAGTTGGATTGCCCAAGATATAAGATCAGTGTAAGAAATATTTGGGGTCTATTCCACCTTCCTTTAGTTGTACATGTCAGTGCTAGTACTGTTTATTAAATAGTAATTTCTCTATATATACAGCAATCATTTCACTGGGCCAGTAAGATGTTTGTCTGGGAACACTGAATGGCAAATATTAGATCACTGAGAAGGGAGATAATAATACTGCCAAAAGGCTACTACATATATACAGCAAAAGCTGGAGAGTTTGTATATTATTCTCTAGAATGTAATCGGTGCTTATTTTGCAATACATTTTATCACAAAATTGGTCATCCAAAGGTAAGAAATTTATATAAAAGATTACAGATGATTTTACCTCGCCCTGAACATCTTATATAGAACCCAAATAAAGATGCAACACTGAAATGGGAAATTATGCACAAATTATTTTTCTTATGATTGAAACTATTAAATAAATATTTCATTAAATTGTATTTTAAAGATATAGAAACTTTTGGGGAGAAATTTTGAGGAGAATGCATTCATCTTTATTCTCAGTGAACATCGTATCCACAAAAGTTGATATAAACAAAAGTAAGTATCACATTGCTAAGTGATATAATAGAAAACTTTTCCCTTACCTTTATTGTACATATTTGTTGGTACTTGGACATCACTCAAAGTGACATTCACTGGCAAATTGTTGAAATGGTCATTTGGTTCAAGGATGAATTCCTTTCCCAGTTCTAAGAAGTTTCCATCTTCATCTCGTTCATTAATGAGAACAGCATTGAAATATTCATACTGAAATAGAAAACCAGTGATGATAAGTCTATAAATTGCTTTATCAATACACTTGGATAAAACCAAGTCAGTTTAATTTGGCATGGGTCCTACAATGTCAAATTTGATGTACAACAAGACCAGAAGAACAATTGCATAAATTATTATGTAGAAGTAAACCATCACTAAACCTGAAAGCTATGTATACATTTTATTTATTTGTTTGTTTGTTTGTTTTATGACATTTTGTACCACAATGTCCAATTTGATGTACAAGATCAGAAAAATTGCAGAAATTATTATGTAGAAGTAAATTATCACTGAACCTAAAAAGCTATGTACTGTATACATTCTGTCTGTCTGTCTGTCTGTCTGTCTGTCTATCTGTCTATCTGTCTATCTATCTATCTATCTATCTATCTATCTATCTATCTATCTATCTATCTATCTGACATTTTTACCACTTCAGTCATAATTAATTCAAAGAAACTCACAGTTTGGAATATTAGCAGTCTAAAACAGTACACTAGTAATCATAACATAAATGCAATGACACAAAAAATAATCTATCTGCATATATTCAGAGCACCACACTTTAACCAATATGGTCTGAAATAAGAATGTTCTGCAACACTAGAAAGGAAGTGGCTATCCTTGACCCTGGGAGAGGCTATTAATAAGAGGAGTACCCACAGAGAATGTCCACCTCCTGAATCCTGTCACATTTACCAATAAATGGGAACTCTTAGGAGTCACTACTTGTTTGTAGGCCCCGAGGAAGCAGATTCTACATCAAACAGACAACTCTAAAGATACTAGGTCCAAAACCAAAAATGACTTTATAGCCAATTTAAATTACACATAGAAATAAAATAACAAACAAACAGTTCTTGGAGCATGGTGTTACCTGAGAGTAGCACACAAGCAGCTGCATTCTAGAACTCTGGTGGTGCAGTGGTTAGAATGCAGTACTGCAGGCTAACTCTGCACAAAGACAGGACTTTGATCCTGGCCTGGTCAAGGTTTATTCAGCCTTTCATCCTGCCCTTGTTAGTGAGAGCAGTTTTGGTAGTCATGATTGTAGTAATTAGGTCAGTCCCCGTTTTTGGTAAATGTGAAAGGACTCAAGACGTGGACGTTCTATGTGGGTACTCCACCTCTTATTGAATGCTTCTGCCTGCTATGCACACCTCTGCTTCAGCTCCCCTCACCCCTACCTCCTCATTTCTTATCTTCTGGCCATCCTGCCAACACGGTATCCTATGTTTTGTTGCCCTGTTGCCCCTGCTGCTCTGCTGCCCATGACTCCTGCTTCTCTGTATTCTGCCACCTCTGCTGCCCCCAGCTGGCCTTCAGGGTCTTCTTCTTCCCATTCCTGACAAGGCCAGCATGTCCTGGTTGTTTAAGGCCTTCAGAAGGCCTCAATTAATTCTTAGAGAATAGCCAGGAATATCAATAGCTACCAATTTTTTAGATTTAGAGGAAACATATGTTTGAAACCAGCTGTTGGAGACCACTTGTGGGAGAAAGCTTTGCACACATATATTCCATTTGAATTCCCCATGATATTAAGCTGCTCTCAGAATGACTTAGCAGGGTTCTTTTTATGTTCTTATGACATTTGAAGGACAAAGATTTACAGATTACAGGATAGATTTAATTTTTCTTCCAACATTAAATAACAGATAAGCAAAAAGCAATTTAGATAATAATATTGATTATTTTTTAGCATGACCTAGGTCAAACAGAGACTATATCTAGCTCTTGGAACAAGTGAAGTCTCTGGTAACCAAGGCTTTTCAACAGTGAAATAAAAACAGAAGAGAGAATATAATGTTAAATATGTCATGTGTTTTGTTGTTATGGTACTGTTTTACCTTTACCTCAAGCATTATATTAAGTACTTTGTAATCATAGATACCAAACTCAAGCAAGATATTCATACAATTTTCTATAGTTTCATGATTTAGTTGCATAACAAAGATCTACATAAATTCTTCACCCAACCAGCTGAATATTTTTTCCTAACAATTGACCTTAATCTTATTTGCAAGACTTCACACAATAATTCATTATAGGCAGCAATTAAATAATGATAATTCAACTGTTGATGATAATTACACTGTCTTTAAACTTAGAAACTACTTATACTGTCAATCTAACTCAATATTTTGTATCCAATGGCATAAATTCTCAGAATTTCAGGCAGAATATATATTCCACTGCACTTTAAAACCATTTAAGAATATTGAATGCTGTCCTATACCAAATCAGATTTTTGGGCCATCTAATCCAATATTGATTGGTAATGCTCTTCCAACGTTCAAGCAAATATTTTTTAAATCTTTTTAAAAATTGCTGAGACATCACTGGAATCTTCTAAAAGGAATGTATATGATCTACCAGAGAACTTCTGCCCTCTTCTTAAAAATCTTCTACAGAGATTATGCTACAGCTTTGCTATACAATTTCATTGAATTCAGAGTCTCTTTCAAATGCCAGGAGCATCTGAGTTAAATCAACCAGCAACTGGGGGAAAAAGGGAAGCACATTCATGTATGTGGCTTTCTGTGCATAAAAATGTTATTTATAGGGGTTCCTCAAGCACCCACACTGACTTTCTTTAAGAAGAAATTATCAGAAATACCAGTTGGAATGGACCAAACATCAGGCTCTAAGAACTGAATTCAGAAAAAAGCTGCTCAGTGTATGGTATGACCAATAAAGATATCAATCTTTGCTGGGATGAAGTCACTTGAAACAACTGTGAATATGAAGTGGATACACTTAATACCCACAGGGCTTAATTTATTCTTCTTCCTATCTCTCCCACAACTTAATGAACATTGCCTTATGTTCCTTATCCTTGGAGCTAAGTGAATACTGGTTGACTTAACAGATATTTCAGCCCTGAGAAATGTTAGTTCCCAGCATTTTCTCAACCGCAGGAGTTCATCTATTTCAGCAATCCATGCCATTGATTCATGTAGGGTTATACTGTAATAAAGGCCACGGGCACTGACAGCTTGAACTTTGTGAACTCTTTGTTTCCTTCTTTAGTCAATTCACAACCAGTGAGGAGATACTCAGTTCCTTCTCAATTTCACCTAGTATGTGTGACTGGAGATAAATTGTTCAAGGACTAATTCTAACCAAAATCACTCTAGCTTATCCAACACATTTCTTTAAAATATTTAACATTAGTGCTTTAAAAAAAATTCAAGCAATTACTCTTTGCATATCTTATTTCAGATATTTTAAATACAGGGTACATTCCTCAAATATATGTTTTATTCAAATCTGAGCAGCTATGAAACCCAGTGGCAATGGAATGCCATTCCCAATACCACAATTTCTGTTAATAAATCTTGGTACAATATTTTGGATGTAATACATTGATATTATCAGTTTCTATACACATATCCTTTCACTTTCCATTTGAAAGGCTATGCTAGCCGTGATCCTATAAAGATGGCACAATGGCATTTTTTGCAACTACTGTATATGCTTTTCATAGTAACTCAAAAATAATTGTAGGTTATACTGTACAACCTTGACACATATGTTTAGGGAAGAATGGAAGATTTTTTTTTCCAGAGATTGTGAAATCATTAAGAAAAATTAAGATCATGAAACTGACTAGAGTGATTGAGAGAATTTACTAATTAACACTGTTTAATGTACTGTAAATAACCAGTGTTGCTGGCCCCAACACTGGATAGCAGAACTTTAATACTGTTATACAGAAAAAAAAATCCAGAAATTGGGAAAACTGATTCAGAGTGGTTTCATTGATAAGATTGTTTATGTTTCTCCTAGCATAATTAGACTGAACTAGTGGTTGAACCTAAAACTGATCCAATAAAAAAGAGGTTGCCCACAAAAAACAAAAGTTCAGCTTGGCAGCTAAACTGATTTGTATCCATTGAGGAAAAAAGGGAGAGGGATGCAATCTAAGCTGCTGGCCTCTCAGGCTGTTCCCAGCTATTTCTTAAGGCAACTTCAAACATTTCAGTTCAGGTACTCAGTCTGGACTGTGATCGGAGCAAGTACTCAATGGTCATTCCCCTGAAACTTGCCCTTTCCATTAGTCCACCTGTTGTATGGACTGGTATATCAATGCAAATGCTTCTCATTTGCTTTCCCAGATGTTTGCACACAGGAATGTCCTCGTTCCCAACATTGTCTTCCTTGATATTAATGCAGATCTTTCTTTTCCTCCTTTATTGTAGTATCACTGCTCTGGTGCTGCAATAATCAAAGCAACAGAATATTCTTTGGATTGCTGGAGGTCCATAGACATTTTTAACAAGGAAGAACAAATAATTCAGCATCATAGAAATAAAAGTAGCAGTGTTCCTAGATGAAAATTATACAGATAGTCCTTGTTTAATGACTACTTGTTCAATAAACATTTGAATTTATGATGGCACTGAAGATACACGACATATGACTGGTCCTTGTATTTATTTCAGTTAAAGCACCCCTATGCTAATGTGATCACAATCTGGGTACCATCACTGCCCGGCTTCCAATTATGATGTTGCAGCATCACATGGTTATGTGATTACCATTTGTGACCTCTGATGATCATAAGGGGATCCATTCCTGAACACACAAAGCCTTAAAAAGGTCCATTCCAGTGACATACATATCTGCCCTTAGTCTTTAAACCAGGGCTTTTCAAACACCTGTGGCACATTGGCACCTGGCAGGTGGTACGCGACCATCCTAGAAAAGTGGTAGCGGGGGAGGGGAATGAGCTGAACCGGTGACAGCACCACACAAGCCTGAGCGAGAGATGGCTGGAGCTGCAGGGCTGTCAGGGCTCAGCAGAAGCACCAGGATCAGTGCCGCTTTCCAGCTGATCGGTGTTTCGGGGCTGTCAGGGCTCAGTGGAAGCGCCAGGATCAGCGCCAGTCTCCAGCTGGAGCTCAGTGCTGATCCTGGTGCTTCTGCTGAGCCCTGAAAAAGCACCAATCAGCTGGAAAGCAGCACTGATCCTGCCACTTCTGCTGAGC